ATGCAATTTACAGAATGTTTCTCTTTTCATCGAATACACGATAGATTATATTAAAGACACGCAAAATCCAGGTGCGGAATAACACGAAGAGAGAGAGAAATGTGAATTTCAAGATTGCATAATGACGTAATCTTCGCACTTTAAAGATTACCTTGTTCCGGCTAAATATCTCGGTGCTATCTCTACCGAGATAATGATGGATGAAATATCGCGACGATAAAAAGTTAGCAATCATAATTTTTTTAATAATTCCAATCGACAGTGATGAGATAACGAGCTATTTAATAGCTATTAAATAGCTCGTTATCTCCTCACTATCGGTTTTAATGATTTTACAATGACTATTAATTTTATCGTTGGAACGTAATTCATTGCTCGTATAATTATCGCGATCTCGATTCTGTGTATATTTGAAAATGTAATCTGCCTGAAAAAACAGCGCAGTGTGGACAATAAGAGATTCTCGACAATCGCGTTAATTAGACTGAGCTCGCTCGATTTTATTCAGCTACATCGAGATCTCGAGATATAGACACGCACGTACCGATCTCTGCAATTATTAAGTCTGCTACTGTCTTTCTCTCTCCCTCTCGTTCTCCCTCTTGTTAAATATACCCTGCGATAAACGCAATTGATCACGTAGATGGTATTTATCCACGCCTTCGCGATATATCCCTACAATGTGTGAGTGAAGCATGAAAGGACTGCGGTGATTTGTTATCTCAAAATAATTACGACCGTGCATTATTGCTGCAAAAGTATATCTTTTTAATATCTATAAATTAAAATCTTACCATTATTTTTTAGAAAACTTGGAATTTTCTCTCATTTAAATTTTTACTAATTAACTCCATCAACCTCTCGGTCAAGAATATTTTTTTTTACGATAATATTAGCATCTGATCTCTCTCTTTTTCCCTTTCGTTTCCGCTTCTGGCGCTTTTAGCGGACCGAGCATTTTACAGATGGCATCTTCGATATCATCGCACGGTGCATTACGAAGATTTACAGTTATTCGAGCAAGCAGAGTGACACATGTATTATATAGCCAAGGTTTTCCCAGCCGGAACCCCCGCGGTGTCATACGCCGTGATTGCTATCGAGGTATCATCGAAGCAGAGCGAGAAGCGCCTACCGATATTCTCGTTGCCTCTACTACACGTCTATGTCAATCCTCGTAATCTACCGTGCAACCCGGCATTAATAAATACTCGTAGTGATCACAGATCATTCGAGGGATTTACGTCAAACTAAAGTACTCCAAAAGATAAAAGTAATAGATCAAAACTGGTATTGTACGATCGCGTACTCGGGTCTTCTATTATTTGCTCTTCGAAGCTTTAATATTGATCCGATTAAAAATATTATAATATTTTAATAATCATAGATATCAATTTCTTTGTTGAAATCATCAAAATGATTCATATATTTCGACTTTCTACGACTAACCACAGGAAAGTTTCTGCCAAAAAAACGCAACCGCGTGGATGAATCGGCGGATCGTGATTCATCCCGTCGAAAAATTCCGGTGAGAAGTCGAAGCGTGCAGGAGCAAAGATCCATCGAGAGATACATAGTCGAGGAAGATCTCAAGGAAGACTTAATCAAAGAACGTTCACAGGCTAGCTCCGCGAAAATTACAACTACCTATTATACATCATCTGCAAGCAAACACGAATGCGAAAGCACGTTCAACTTTGCTCGAAAATTAGTCTAAAGTATCTTAACGCGAAACTAATGATACTTGATAGACATAAATTGATACAGTCTCTCGTGGAAAAAAAAATATAGAGTTTCGCAAGTTTTCTATGCGGCAAAGGTACTTCAACAGTAGCTTATCGACGAAATCAAAGAATATAAGACCATGCATAAGGCTGATTATTTCCCTCCCCTGAGAAGCCTGATGATTATTTCCTATTTTTCTGGGATTCGTACTGTTGCTTCTCTCCGCGGCTGTCCGATTCGCTCGAAGTAGTCATTAGAGCAAATTGAGTAATGCCAAATAGCCAAGAACACGGCGGTTGATCACGATAATGAGTATGGTATCCTTCGTTGCGATAAAGACACGTCGGTATCATTCAAATAGGCGGTGGAACGATTGGAAATTGTTGAAGAAAAAAGGCGTTGTCACGACTCTGTAATCACGAAGTGCAAACTTGTTAAAACATTTACTACGAATATCAATATATATAAATTTTTTAATAAAAAAAATACTCGTACAACTCTATCGAATCGTGTGTAATGACTGCGTTTGATAAAAACGACGGGTGACGGATGCACAATTGAAATTGTCCCTTGACAGCGCCTTTAACAGTCGGTGGCGAACGGTGCTGCGATACCCTGTCGCAAATAGCACACCATTAGCCTCCGTATGAGACGGGCGTGATGTTATACATTACGCGCTAATGGCTACGTGTAGATTGCTGCTGAACGTATGTACGAGAGTCCGTTGTTCCTTTATGGCGGCTGGTATACTAAAGACATGGGCGCGCGTATAAGCTCTTTGAAAATATTTTTGCCGACGTGAATATAATGACAATAAATATAATATAGTCCAATTTAAAAATAAAAAAATAAACGTAAGAATTGAAAGCGGAAAATACTCGGATCATGGTCGATCTTCCCTCGCGGAAAGAATGAGAATGTAACAATTGACCGTAAACCGTAACGGCGCCGACATAATCGTGATAAAGTGCATTCTAACTACGTAACGAGCAGTGAAGACGAATGAGTTATCGCTATCACCTATCCGTCCGTCACGTGCCAGAGGCATGGCGCAGCTTGTGTCTAATGAAGGCTAACGAACGATGCATCCCGAACATGTAATTAAGCAGAAGAAGACTGTAACCGCTAACATTTAACGTTATCGCTTCTTTGCGATCAATAGAGTTGAATTTTTATGCGAATTGCTCGCTTCTCTCTTATTAGTTTCTTGATCAGTCGCGACATGTACAGGGTGTCTCAGACTTAACGAATCAGCCGTTAATGGCAGATTCCTGAGATCATTTGGAAACGAAGATCTTGATACCAAAATGTTGAGGAAGATGTAGTTTCGGCGCTGCAAAAGATTAAAGATCACCAATCGGCGCGGTAATATCGATAGAAGGATCGATTTAAAATAAAAAATAGGATTTTGCAGTGAACCCGATTGTGTCTTCGATGCGTCAGTAGTTTAGTTTAAACATTTTTATGAAGTCTTCCTCAACATTTTGGTATTAGAACTTTCGTCACCAGATGATTCTCAGGAATCCGCTATTAACGGTCGATTCGCTAAGTCTGGGACACCCTGTATAGTATCGAACCATCGTTGTAGCGCAACTGGAATTAAATACCTACGGGAGGGACAAGGAGAAATTCTGGTCGCATCGTCTTGTATTATTATGAGAAATGACGAGGACCGTTCTCTTTCACCTCTTCTTCCACCTCTCTCGTCCCTTGCAGGCGATCGCATCTTTCCGTTAAAGGAGAGTCACGAGTGCGCTCGCGAGAGAGAGATTCTTTGAAGGGACGACGACGGGCCCCTCGCGTCAACGTCTTCCTCGTTTATGTCTCGCGAGAGCGACGAGAGGGAAAGGAGACGAAGGGAAGCGAAGCCCGGGATCCCTCCGGGCGAATTTCGGGTCGGCTCATTTTCGCGGCGGCATGCCGCGGTCCCCTTCTCCTTTTCTCACGTTCGTCGGTACACCCGGACACCCTGTAGATTGTCCCACCGCAGGGAGATTCGGCGGCCACCGGCGCGATGCATTCCAATGCAAATAATTCTCGCCCCGGGGACGCGACGTAATCGTCGCAATTTCATGCTTCTCAGAAATTCAACCTACCTATCTTACACTCTCCGTCTCTACCGCATACGATCCTTCTCCCTACCGTGGTCTACCTGAAGCCCCTCTTACCTTATCCAGCCCCGAAACTCGATAACTCACCCTCGAGTATACCCGGGGCGCCTCAATATTTCATCGATGATCACGAAAGAATAACAGAATCGCGTAAGTGGTTCGATGAAAGGTGTATTTATAGCTATCTCGGGATGACGGATGGACGACACGATTTTATGAGTCACTTTTAAAGTGATCTAAAGCATTCGTGTATTTTCCATTCTACTTCTCTTGAAAGAGGAGAATTTAAATATGAATAAGCGCCTTGTAAGAATACTTGGGAGAGTATACTTCGCGTTGTGGGATATAAATTACGCAACGGACCAGCAGGAGGCTGAGGATATCAAGTTTCAGCTTGTCGTCGCTTCGGTTTTAGCACCTGTTAATCGCTCCGTTCACGCAGCTTGCTCGTTAAAATATCGAAATAAGGACGATGAAGATGGATGACCGTAAAGTTTTCAATACAAATTTTACATACTTATATATGTATGTATCTACACAATTATTTAACATTAGGCTTATGGGTGACATAATCTTTTTTCAATTATGGTAGCCGCGTAGCAATTTCATTTCCCGTTAATTCGTGTTGATAAGGTACGATTTAAGAGCAAGAAACAAACAAACTTTAATTAAATATTCTCCCATATATCACGATTTCTATTAGGAATACGTGTGCTGACATAATCGTTTGATTGCACCAACAAGATGTATCCGATAGAAGGCATTTTGAACCAAGCAGAATCTCTGCTAGTTATAATAAAACTCGATTTTCTATAACTAGAATATTTAATAGACTACTCTGAAGGTTTGATTAATATTTTCTAGTTGGAGCTATAAAAAATATCTTGTTATATTAATTAAACATGAATAATAGTGATGTCATTTTCTTTGTAAATTTTACTAAGTATTATTATCAAGAAAATTTGTTAAATTTAACAGGAAGAAATTAATCATACTCTGATTAAAAGTATATTGTCTTCATATCATAGTTTTTAATTCCTAAAGGAACTCTGATTCAATTTCCATACTGGTTGAATCTACCAGAATTCTAATTAATGCGACCAGAGTTTCTCAGTGCGTTCGTGATTCTTTAGCATTTAATTTTAACAAACCCCTCTGTTTCAGGGTGGTCGGGGCAATGGTGGTCGGCGCGGCCGTCTGCAGCCGTATTCCAGGATTGGCAAAAAGCCAACGCGAGCAGTGCAAAAAAGCGCCGCACGCCATGCCAGCGGTGGGCGAAGGTGCCGCATTGGGTCTACGCGAGTGCCGGCACCAGTTCCGACATCACCGTTGGAACTGTTCCCACGTGTCCAGCGATCAGGTCTTCGGCCACGTGGTGGTAGTGGGTAAGGATTGTCCTGTCACCGCGCGCGCGGTATTTATTACACCGTGTAATGCACCTCGAAACGCTGTACGCATTTCTACTCCTTGTATTCCGCTACGTCGCCGCAAAAGGGTGAAACGGTGTAAAATTGCTCGGTTACCGGCCATTCGTTGGTGATGTTGACGCGCGCGCGTGACGGAGAAACATTAATAGAAAATTTAAAAGAAGAGAAGGAAAGTCTAAACACATCGGAAGATTCATCCTTTGGATGCGCGTGCAGTAAAGTTGTACAACTTATTACCCGGTTTACCGGTATATTACGTGCCCATGTCGGAACATCCTCGAAACGTTGCGAGTTAAAGAAGACACACGACTTAGTTGCATCACTCTCGCGTTCTATTAGGCAGTTGTAAACGTGTATCAGATTAATTATCTCTTGATTAGGATCTCTCCTCCTGTGCTTCGCCATCGACCCACCTGTCCGTTTGTATCCCAAACGGATTCTCTCTAATTATCAAATATCTTTCCATGAGAGATGCGATTTCGGAGTTAAATTAATAAGCCAGCCATCCGTACCACTTAAGTGTGAAAATTATTACGGTATGCCAGTTGAATATACAATATCAGCAAACGTATATATCTCGACTCTTTCAGCGGTCCTCTGTTAACAAATTAAAATGCGCATCTTAAATATTCGCATCGGCCATAATTTCATGAAGCCAATAAGTAAAAAATAATACGCCTTCTTGAGCGTGTAACTGTGTCTGTGTTGGAGTGCTCGAAGGATTGACCGTGATATAACGGTAAAACAACGGAGCAAGTTTCCGTTTGCAAATTTAACCCGAATGCTTTGTTGATTTTTCGCGATCAAAAATCGAAAATTACCGAATTAAATGTTCTATTCCGGTCAATTTAACGCTAATCCAAGAAGGTATTTTTATACTTAAACGCACTTTTACGACGATTTTTTTGTAGAAAAGTGCGAAACGTAGTGCAACTTTATCACACTTTTGTGAAAATCAACGAAATGACAGTATCAAAAATTAACTAGAAGAAACACGCCTGGAATAGACATATCAAATAGGACCTCTCGAATTTCCAAGATTGAAAAGGTTCTTTTCTTTTTATCAATTTTCTCGGCTGAGCAACAACTCTAAAACTTTGTATCCCGATGTAAGATTAAATATGTGGCCACTTAATCATCGTCTTATCCGTAGCTAAAAGAAGCAAGAAAAGCTAAATCCTTCTCATGAGACGCATCGCGCAATTATTTAAACGCGCGCTTGATATACGGCAGGCGTCCTTAATTTTCTCGCCTCTTAATTTTCGGTGGCTTAAGGAGTAACTTAATCGCTGACACCTTGCGTGTCGTGTGGCAGATCGGCTCGGTGACAAACGGCGAAAACGATATTTCTCGAGGACAAGATAATCCCCGGGTCCTGTGAGTGGAAGCTGATGTGTGATCCGCGCTCGCATAAATATCACTAAATACGACATATTTGTCATTCTGGCATTAAAAACCGTAAACGCGAATGTCGGGAGGGAAAGGGATAAGTGTCCTTACGTCGAGGATTCACTCGGCGATATACAGGGTGTCCACGTTCTAAATTCAAAGCTCGTGATCTTCAAAAAATTTAAAATCGAAGAGATAAAAGTGAGGGAAAATCACCACCAAAGTTGACCGCGATCATCTCTAATTTCTCCAAAGAATCAAAATATTGTTTTTATATCAGTTTTTTTTTATTATTGATAAAATCTCGGAAACACCCCGTACGCAAGGGACAGTTTTGCGGTGGCCCAGGTAGGCGATTTCTCATGATTAATTTACAACGGATTAAACTGCCGAGGAAGAAGGGAATAAAGTCTGGTAAACGCGATGCGATTTACAACGCGCAACGAGACATTCGTACTTTGTTACCCGTCATCTTGTTGCCATTGTACAAGGCTCATACGTCACCATCGAGAGGCTCTCGCGGGTTTATGGCTTCTGGAATTCTACGCTGAATAAAATGCGTATAGTGCATCGTAAAGCCGCTTGTGCGTGTGCGAAAGGGATTGGAAGGAAATAACGCGATTACACGCGGAGATTTGCATAAATCACGAAGGCACACGATACACCAATTTCCGATAATCAATTATAAATTTAGTATGCTAATAACGATCATCTTTTTGTTCGATTAATATCAAAGTGATGTACATCGCAAAAAAATTCGCGCGTTAGAATCCAGCCCCTTCGCCCCCTGTCGCAATATTTGTCAATAAAAAGTCTGAAATCTAACAAATCTAAATAAAAACGCGTACGTAATATTTCTTCAAATAAGAAAGAGCGGCACATTTTACGCTCAACGACCGACGCGAAGCGGAGAGCGAAAATAACGGCGGCAACCTCGAGGAAGTCGGACGAGAAATAAGAAGATCGGAAATTAATGCGCAAAAGAGAGTATAAATAACGCTCAAGAGATCGGGAGGGCGAGAGGGAAGAGCGGGGGGGCGGGGGAAGGGTGGGAGAGGGAGAGGGACAGACAGGGCGGTCAGTCGCTAACTTAATTAGTGAAATTAACGGAGCCGCTCGACATGCCGAAGCTACGAATACGGCAGTGTACGCTCTTCAAGATATTTCCCCGACTCTTAAAACGCTCGCATTATGCACGAGGTGCATAATCCTGTGCGCAAGTGTGCGTGTAGAAGCGTACAGATAGTTTCAAAGCAAATAAACCGCCATTAACGCGCTTGATTAAGAAACATATAAAACCGACAGGTGCATTGAGTGACGCAGAGGACGAAATACGACTCGAATGGCGTCTAAGACTCGCGGTCGCTCGTTAGAAGAGGCTGCGGATAAATGAGCGAAATAAATTTCTGGTAGCGCGGTATCTCTCGGGGCACCCTCTCTCCGAGATAAACTCTAATTTATTTGCATTGTGAGAGAGAAATATAGACACCTCGGGGCGTGCAATTTCGAAGTATCTCCGAGATACGTCGATATACACATATGCACGCATACGTGTACGTCGTCTTCTCGCCGCCGGTGCGATTCGCATAATCGCGTATCGAAATGTTAACGAGATATAATATAGATATACTATAAACAAATAAATATTTAAATATAATTAGGCACGTCGGTCGCCGTCGATCTGAAAATCCCTCATTACGGAGGCGATGCTACTTAAAACCAATCCCGAGTCGATTCGTCGCGGCCCACTCGGTCGATTCGTGGTGAATACATTTTCATAAATTAGGCGGAGACCCGGGAGACTTTTTCGAGATACGAGAAAAGTAGTGGGCGATGATCGTCTAATCGCCCAAATGAAACGACGTGATTAAGAGATCCATTACGCGCGGTCGATGGACCATACGTTGTAAATTCGAGGCAACAGGACGACGTTCCTGACCCACCGACGTCATCACGAAAAACTGCACTAAAGGCACTTCTCTCTTTCTCTTCTTTCTAGTTAATTATTATTGTAATAATTATATCTCAATCGTACAGCGAGAATTATCTTCTCCAAAAGTCATTGTCACTTTGAGCTAGATTATCGTCGCTTTTATTAGCATGTAACTTCGCAGATGAACTTTATTCTGGCTTGCGTGACAAAATAATTCGGACCGCACAGCAAACGAACGATAAGCAAAGGCAGGAACAAAGGGGGAGACAATGCGAAAGATTCTACGCCAACAAGCGTATCCTCCTCTGCCCTCTTCCTCTTTCCAGCCGAATACCATTGACAAGGATGCTGAGTTAATGCGAAGCCTTATCAATTTTTGTTGGATTCGATAGAGAGCCTTTTTGCACCTCCTCCTCCTTCCTTCCATTCTACCTATATCAATCCTGTTCTCCGCGCTCTCTCGTGCTCGCGTATTTTTTTTTTTTTTTTTTTTTCATTTTCTCTCAACTTCTTATCCGTCTCAAATAACTGGACTGGCCCACACTCGGCGCTCTCGCATGGACACACCTACCTACCTGCCTGCGTCTACCTGCCTTTACCTGCCTGCCTGCCTACCTGCGGTTCCCCCGCTTGGTGCATAGCCCCCGATGCATTCATTCTCCTGTTTCGCATCGATGTACATGCATATTGAGCTATGTCGCGCGGACGACCGTGCGAAATGGCGCACACGCCGGTTTCGACACACGCACGCACGCACGCACGCACGCACGCACGCACGCACGCACGCACGCACGCACGCGCGGGGTAAACCAACGGTGAAGCGAAATGATCCATCAGGTTGCGAAAAGATAAGTTTCTTTTTGAGAAAGAAAATAATAATAATAATAAAGAAAATAATAACCCCCGTCTCGAAAAATATCAGCTTTAAAATTGACAAATTAATATCTTTTATTTCCTTATCTCTTTAATTAATAACCAATCTCGGTTTTATAACCCACCAGAAAGAGCAAGGCAGTATCGAGAGAACCCAGTATGTAATTGTATCGCGTTTAAAGCAACGTGACTCGATCTATCTCTGTCAACTTTATCGTACCGCTAATTTGTTCGATAGCTTGTTGGGGAATCTCTGCCGGCTCGAGATAAGATATACGGCTGCATCCCGGCTCGCGAACACCGAGTGATAACACTCGCGAGAGGAAGCTCCGCGTATCTACCGTGTATCTTCCTCCGCGAAGGAGAAAAGAAACGAAACTAGATAAAATACGCGGCATGGGTGCGCGAGCGAAGGGGTACCGCCTGGGGAAGGAGAGAAATGGCCTTCAGGAATTTATGATCGGGCGCAGAAAATTACTATCGCCGCGGCAAGTATCGCGACATATATCCCTCGGTCTCGCTCGATATACCCGCGAAACTGATATTTATTCGAAGGTAAATTACGAGGCCGCGGATCCGTTTAGGTAACTACGAGGCTACGTCCAAGAGAAACGTTCTGTTCCGGGGATAAGTGTCGGCCGCGCGATTACATTTCGAGCAGATTTAGGCGTCGCACCGCAATTTGCCTGGCGATCTCCTGGCTCGCGCACGTACAAGATCCGCGATAGTAGTCGGTCATGGGATACCGTATCTTATAGGAAGA